ATTTTGGGACAGAGTTTTTCTTGGTGTGTAGGCTGGCTTTGAACTCACTATGTTGCCCAGGCTGGCCTTGAACTCTTGGTGATCCTCCTGCTTCACCTTCTGGAGTGCTGGGATTGTACCACCATGCCCAACTAATCCTATTATAATTTGAAAGTTAATTTGGTCTAAAGGATGTCTACTATTCAGGCTAACAATTTCTTCTTTTAATGTAAAATACTGCTATGATTTTATTAAAAAGGTTGGTATGCTACATAACTACATGAGATAAATATATTAACCAGATTTAAAAAAAAATCACAATACCCATTTTTTTCAATCATGTTGATAGTTCATTCATTTTATTTTTTTTCCAATATAAGCAATCACCAATTAGGATACATTTGCAAAGAGTACACAGGGAATTAGTATGCCTAAAGATAGCATATTTGTCTTCCTCCCTTCTAAGCTGTAAAATCAAATTTCATTTCATCAGATTCCTATTTTAGGGAATAAACATCACACTAAATAAATACTTATACAAGATAGAATGATGAAACTAAATATTTACTTTAAAAACTGGTTAAATTGACAGGGTTAGAGGTCAACAAAGTATTGGAAATGAAACTTAAAAAATTAAATGTAATAGACTATATTTAATATGACATTCTACCTGGATTTGAATCATTTTGTTACATAATTCTTTAATGTTTGGAATATGTAGATAATTTTACTGACTTACCATCATTAAGAATGTTTTGAATTATTTTTTCCAATACTGGGTATGAAACTCAGGACCTTGCACTTGTGAGTCAGGAATGGTGCCACTGAGCTAAATCCCTGGCCCTAAGCATTTATTTTTAATATGAAAAGTAAGTCCATTGCGGGGATTTAGCTCAGTGGTGCCACTGCCTGCCTCAAAAGGACAAGGACCTGAGTTCAATCCTTGTAACCAAAAAAAAAAAAAAAAAAAAAAAAAAAAAAAAAAAAGACAGACCAACAGATTATTTTAGACTGGATTTCATAATATAATTATTATATCCTGGTTCTTTGCAGATTCAGGAAGTCGATTTGATTTGATCACTTAATTTGATATAATCAAAACTAAGGAACTGGAATTTTTTTCCCCCAGTACTGGGGATTGAACCCAGGACCTTCCTACTGAAATGTATCCCCAGTCCTTTTTAAAAATTTTTATTTTGAAACAAGATCTAAGTCAGTAAATTGCCCAGGCTGAGCTCAAACTCTGACCCTCTTGCTTCACCCTCCCAGAATGCTGGCAGTACAGGTATGTTCCACCATGCCTGGCTGAAAAACTTACTTTTAAGTCACAATGTATATGCTATTCAGAACAGCCACCTTCTAGTTTAAAGGACCCAAAAGCCTATTAAGACTTGATTTAAAAAATTATATTTAGTGGCTTTGGTACCATCCACATAAACAAGAATAACTCACAACTGGAGATATACTATTGCAGCAATACCATTGCCTTTTACTTTACACTTTGAGTATCATTCTCATTTCAATAAAACTTCACAAATTTATAAATTGTTTTTCATTGACTACTAATCAAAATATATGTTCAACCATCTTTGTACATCATACACTGCTAGGCACTGTGAAAAATACAATAAATTAAGACACTGCCTCTGATACTTTTTTTTTTTACAATTCTCCTCTTGAAAATATACTAAGTTTTCTAGGAAGATATGTTAATGTTTAAAACATCTCTGTGGCAGTGCTGTGAGGGCTACTCAAAAGCCTTTGGTCAAGAAGGTCAGAGAGGTAGAGTTTGGATTTCTGAAAAGGAGGAAGATATTTCAAGCAGAGTAAGGATTATTTCTGTTTGTTTTTTGGTACTGGAGATTTAACCCGGGGTCTTTGTACTGAGCTACAGTCCTCTCTGTTTTTATTATTTTTACTTTTTACTTTGAGATAGGGTATTGCTAAGTCACTAAATTATCCAGTCTGGGCTTGAACTTGGGATTCTTATTTAGCCTTCCAGAATGCTGAGATTATAAGGATGTGCTACTATGCCTTGGGGCAAAGTTTGTTTAAAGGTACAGAAGAACAAAAGCACATTACAGTGTAAGAATTTACAAAGGAGGATAGTGTATGTACCATCTAAACTAGGGGAGAGGGTTGACTTTTGTTTCTTGGTATTACTTTTTTGAAACAGGATTTCACTATGTAGTTCAGCCTGACCTTGAAACTCACTATGTAGCACAGACAGGCCTCAAACTCATGGCAATCCTCCTTACCCCGATATCCCAAGGGCTGGAATTACGGACTTGCTCCACCACGCCTGGCTTATTCTTACTTTAACACAATGTTTGATATATATTGGTTCTCAAAAATGTTTGTTAAGTAATGAAATTCTGTATGGCCATAGGATTTTTAAGGACATGCCTTTATAGAGTCTAACACATTTGTAAAATTAACGAATAAAAATGAAAAGGAATGAATGAATAAAAGAATGATACTATAAAAGAAAAGGTAGGATGAAATGATAGACAAAGGACAAAAGCTAAGCTGTTGCCTGACTGTAAACCCTTTATCAACAGTCAATAAATTTGGACTTTATTCTGTATCTGAATCTTTCAGGGGACAGGAGTAGCAGAATGAAAGTGATCCCAAGTGTCCCAATCAACTGATTTAATTCTAGTGTGAGGACAGATTCAAGAGAGGAAACTTTAGGGAGGGGAACCACTAGTGGTTGCCCAGTTTTAATTTTTCAAAACTAAAGAAAATTTATTTATAGATAGCTTGTTGGGATAGTCACCCTGAAAGTGAGACTAAGAGATTATTAGTAGTTTGAAACCTTTTCTCTTCCCTCCCCGTCTCATTCTGTCCCTGAGCCAGGGACAGCCCAGGAAGTTCTGTGAATGTTCACTAACAAGTACCAATGAGTGTAAGGATTCGGAAATCACGGGATCTGCTGCTACTTAACTGAATTATAAAACATTTCCTCAAAACTTTCACCATTTTGTCAGTAATCTTTCCACCACTTCAGTGGGGTTTCTTTTTGCGATAGCACATCGGCTCCCAGGTAGGAGATCTGCCCCTGTTCTTCCTCCTCCTCCTACCAGCCTGTACTTCAACTTCTCTGCTTCTTTCCCAGAGGGTTATTTGAGGCTTCTGAAGCTTCCCCCTCTGTGTGGAGCAGATGGACAGCAACTCCATAAAGGCAGAAGTGAAAGAAGACTGAGTAGCTATTTGTTTGCTCAGTTAGAAAAATAGCCTTCGTGTTCATATGTTTTATTCAACACATGTGGGCAGGATTCAGGATTTAGGATTTTATTGAATGTATGAGAGGAAGAATATTCACTATTTAAACTTGTCTAAATTGAAAATTACTACCACATGTTCTAAGATAAACGTTTGATTCTTCTATTTGCATCATGGGACACTCTTAAAACCTGTGCTTTTTGTTTTGTAGGTTCCATTATAGCTTCTATTGTTTAATGATTTTATTTCTTGAAATTTACTGATAAAGAACTGTCAGCAATTGCACTGATATGCACTATAAATTGTAAATTTATTTAATTCAGTAATTTAGTGCTTGCACTATATAAGGAAATGTGTTATGTACTAGAAGGAGAGGATAGGCAAAACCTACACTGTATACCCATGGAGTACTGATAATAGAGGGTTTACAATATATTCATCTTTTGCATACATGACAGAATAAGATATGGCCATATGAGAGCTAGCTATAAACAGTTACTGTGTAGTTCAAACTAAAGGGAATCAGTTCTTGCTGTAGGAAATGGGAATGTCATGCTAATGAAGCAGATGACATAGAAACTGATGAGCAACTCAGAGTTGGAGACGATTGGCCTGGGTCTTCCGGCTATCCCAAGGGCTAAGGGGATTAAGAGGTCTGCTAATTAGAAAGCTCTGGCCTAAAACAGAGCCAAATTCCTTCCTAATTTCCTTCAATTAGGTGGTGTTATAATGATATCCTGTTAAGAGATGGCCTAAATTAGGACAGGAAGAAGAAAATGACTAATAAGCTGAGGCATCAGTGCTGATGAGGACAGGTTCAGGCCAGAGGGGAAAAAATTGGAGGAGTTGCCGAGAGGAAGGAACTAGAAAAAATATAGGATTTTCCCTGAGCACCCTCGTAGACTTTTGAGCCTTCCTAATTTTTATTAGCCACCCTGTGCCATCTCCTTAGCAGCCCCCTACTGGCCCCATGTAGGTGTAGTGAATGGGAGGAGCCATGGAAAAGATGAATTCCGGGCCAGCAGAGATCTTGTAGCTGGATAATTTAGCTGGTGGAGAAACTGATTTGGAAGGGGGAAAATGAAGAAATCTGTGTTATTATATTGAGAGTCACTTGTAAGAAGGAATTGGTGAATTTAAGAGAATACGTTGAAATTACCAAGGGAGAATGCTGAGATTAAAGAGTAAAGGTTCAATTATGAGAATAAAATTGCTGCCGTCTGAGGAAATAAGGAAACTTGTGTAATGTTGATAATATTGCTATAAATATAATAAAGGGTTACAGAGAATTGAACTGAAAAAAAAAAGGAGTAAAGGTCCAAGGTCATACATTAGGAACTTTTATGTAGTGATAAGGGGAAAAGGAGACAATAAAATGCATTAACATATTTAATGATGATGATAGAAACAGACAGAAAGTATTAACCCTAATTAGCCCAGTTTTATCATTGAAAAACTAGAGACACAGAAATTAGATAATTCTTCCAAAGTTTTGTCAGCAAATGAACTATAAAGCTGGCACAAAGCAGAGAGTAGCCAGAGAGCAAGAAAGTTAGAATAGTACAATGTCTTAGGAGCCAGGAATAGAAATGGTTTTAAGGAGATGTTGGCAACCATAGCAAGTACTGCAGAAAAGTCTGAAGAGCATATAATAGACAGCCAACAACATTGTGGAACATATGGATAATGTAAATATTTTCTAAAATGTAAAAATATTAAAAATTCATACCAGCTGATATAGTGGTTCACACATGTAATCCTAATACTCTGGGAGGGTGAGGCAGGAGGATAACAAATAAGTTCAAGCTTTGTCTGGGCCACTTAGTGAGATCCTGTCTCAAAATAAAAAATAAAAAATGGGCTGGGTACAGCTCAGTGCAGTGGCCTTCAGTTCAATCTCCAGTACTTAAAAAGAAAACAAAAAACAAAATAACTCATGTATTTTTATTCACACAAATGCCCAGTCAGACTATTCATTTTAATTTTTTTTTCAGGATATTTATTTTAAGGTTACTTAAATAAGTATTTTATTTTGTTTTGTTTTTTGGTACCAGGGATCGAACTTGGGCCTGTGTGTTTGCAAGGCAGGCAGCGGAACTACTGAGCTAAATCCCCGGCCGACTTAAATAAGTAGGATGAATAAAATATCTGACTTTAGGGAATTTATTTTAGTCTAAGAGGAAAGCAAGAGAGATATACATAATGTTAACAAAAGTAAAGTGAGATAAGTACTTGAGGTTTTCCTTCTCTGCCTTTCAAAGCATCTGCTATGATCCCCAAATTTTATTAAGTATGAGAACACCTGCTGGATCTACCCCAGATTCTGACTTACTAGGTCCAGAGTAGAATTCAGGAATTTACATTTTAGTAACAACACTAGGTAGTATTTCTGTTGCAAACAGTTCTCAGATCAGATTTTGAGAAACAGTGCTGAAACAGAACACTTATTAATGATCAGTTTGTTTACTAGGGAGTGAATTTCTTTATGTCAGGATTCTGTGGCCTTTTATCCAGCAGCAGTGCTTAGCACTTTGTTGAATGATTTAAATAAAGAAGTGTCATATATCTTATTGGATTGATCACTAAAAACTATGTAGATAATTTTTTAGTATTGTGTTTTAAAAGCTTTACATAAATTAACTCATTTGTGATAACCTTAGGCATGACAAGAATTACAAGTATTATGTCCCCACCTTGGAAAGGAGGAAACAGTACAGAGAGGTTGAAAGTCTTATTTGGGAACTGACCAACACTGAACTGATGTAATCTGGGGCCAGGCAGCACCCAAGCCTGCACTCTTAAATATTACTGTTTGCTCCCTGTAAAAGAAAGTGACATATGAGATAGACTTTGAACAGTAGAAGTTTCTTAGGGAGAGGTTTTGGGAAAGGTGTTCAGGGTAAAATTAAATTTCATTAAGGAAAACAGGAAACAGTTGGACTTCATGGAATTGTTACTTGTAGGAAAGTAAGCAGTTTTATGTGCTCCAGATTGAATACTTGAAAGATTTGAAATAGATTGATCATAGATAAAATATAAAATAATTTGCTGAAAGAATACTAATTTCGCTCATTTAGGGGATTAGTATCCCTATGTGTTAATTTATTTTCCTAACCTAGACTTCTGTGTCACCATTAAACTTTTATGAAATGGACTGTATTTATATTATGTAATTATATATTTGCCCACTCCTCTGCATTAGACAATTTTGCTTTGTGAACATTCAATAAGTATGAAATAATGGGGACAACTTTTAAAAATTTTATTTTATCCCATTCCCTTCCTCAAGTCCTTTCCCCTATGTACAAAAGCTTTGTTTCCATTTTCCTTCTATTTTCACTTTTTTTCTTGTTCCTTTCTTCCTTTCTCCTCCCTGTTCCCCTTCCCATGTGAACACTTTCTTCCCATTGCCCAATATCCATTGTACATCTCAGGCCTTATTTCCACATTCAGTTTCTCACACCAGAGAAATAATGTGGTATTTAAACACATCTGTTTTATTTCACTTATAAGTATGGTCTCGGGGTCCATCCATTTAGCTATAAATGTCTGAATCGCATCCTTTTTTATGGCAGAGTAGTACTCCGTTATAGAAAAAAACCCACATCTTTTTATCCACTCATCAGTTGATGGGCATTTGGGTTGTTTTCAAGATTTAGCCATTCAATCTGTGGTGTTATAAACATGAGTGTGCATACATCTCTGTGGTATGATGCTTTTAATTCTTTCAGGAAGATACCAAGAAGAGTTATAGCTGAGTCAAGTGGAACCTCTAGTTTTCATTTTTTGAGAAATCTCCACACTGATTTCTACAGTGGTTGCACCAGTCTATACTCTCACCAGCAGTGGAGAAGTGTTCCCTTTTCCCCACAGCCCCTCCAGCATTTATTATTGGTTGATTTCTTGATAGCAGCCATTCTTTCTGGAGTGAGATGAAATCTCAGCATTGTTTTAATTTGCATCTCTCGAATGACCAGTGATATTGAACATTTTTCAATATATTTATTTGCCATTTCTAATTCTTTATCTGAGAACTGTCTTTTTATTTCAGATGCCCATTTTTGCATTGGGTCTTTAAATTTGGAGCACCTGGAATGATAATCTTTTATCTGAATAGCTGGTAAAAATGTTTTTCCACTCTGTGGTTGTCTCTTCACTGTGTTGGGAGTTTCTCTCGCTGAATAAAAGCTTTTTGATAAGATGAGGTCAATGGGAACAATTTTTAACCCATATTTATCTAATAAAAAGTTTTACTTATTTTTTAAATCTTTATTAAGTTTATTGGTACATTTTAGGTATACAGTACAGTTATATTCATCATTAGGATCTTGTACCTTTACATGACTTATCTTGGTTCTTATTTTTCCCCATTCCCCAGCCCTCCCTTTACCTCCTCCACCCTTCCCTGTTCACAGAGACATTGTTTCCATGTTTTTCCTTTTCACTTATCTTTTCTTTTCCCTTTTAACCTTTCCCTTACCCCTCCCACTTCCTCTGCTCTTGTAGACCTCTTCTTGTAGCTTTGTGGCTTCAAGTAATTTCATAATGAGTATCACTGCATAATTTAATTTATGATACCCTTTTCCTAGAAAATGCCATGAATTTTCATGAATATGCCATTAAGATAGAAGAAATTAAATTTTACCTCCTATTAAATTCCCAGAAATCACAATGAGATCTTTGGTATCACGTTTTTGTGTATCTAAACCACTGAAACCAAGGTAATTATGAAAATATTGGATGGTGGTAATTTTTTGATAAGCACCACTGGGGATTGAACCCAGGGCTTTCACAATGAGCCTGTTTTTTAATTTTTTATTTTGAGACAAAGTCTTTCTAGGTCACTAAGTTGTCCAGGCTGGGCTTGGTGGTTATTTTTTTTATTGTAACAATGACGTTACTATTAGCACATCTAGAGTTAATATGTAGACAATCATTGTTCTACCATGGAAACAATAATCATAAAGTCCTAAGTTAATTCTTAGGTAGATTAATAGTACAAGAAATCCAAGACGGATTGTTGTGATTTAAAAATGAGAGTCAAAGCATTGGTAGTCTGAGAATGAGGAAGGAGAGAGAAGGATTTGGAGACTGTATTTGGTGATAGGTACATGGTTCCCACAGGCTGATAGTTCCTAAAATTATTGTCCGTGGGGGACATGTATATGCATGTTTATACAAGATCCGTTAATTTTTTGGTGTGCTTTCGATTTCCTCTTCACAGTTTTGAAGAAGTGCATGACATATACTGAGAAAAGAGCCCTCTTGGGGCAGCAGCGGAGCCTGCCATGTATTGCACCCCTGCTGACCACGGTGGAGGAGACACCACATATCATCTCTGCTGCAGTCCAGGGAAATATCCCTCAGTGGCTCAACGGCTATCTGCTTCGAGTTGGACCTGGGAAATTTGAGTTTGGGAAGGATAAGTAAGCCTAGATTTTGAAGAAAAATCTGGATTTCTTAGCATGGGCTGATTCTATGGAATATGCTTTAATTTCCTCTCTGAGGTGCACATTGCCGTTATCTTTCTTTTGATTACAGATTCCAAACTGTAGTCCCCAGGAAGAAAAAAAAAAAAAAGAATTATGTTTTGAAAGTTTTGCTTTTGCTGGTCTGCTTAATAGTGTAAATTTGAATCACTCTGTGAGTTTATGCCAAAAAAAATAGGTGTTAGGAGCTCTGTTTGTGACTACCAAATTGTTTTGCCACGAGTTCCAAAGGGAAGGGTAATGTCTTCACTTTCTGCTGCTTTCTCCCTCACCCTCTACTCCCCAGACACAGTGGCTTCTTTCAATTCCTCGTACTGCCACATTTATTTTTGCTCACTTGATCTTAGCCAAAAGGCCAAGAAGCCATATAGCGTCAGCTTTTTAAACCAAGCTTTGTTGATCTTCTTAGGTTTCATTCCTGTCATTCAGATACCAGTTTAAACATTCTGTCCTTTTAGTCTTCCCTGACTTCCCGATCTCAAAACACTGGGATATATTATGTTACCAATTTGTGTGGTACCATTTCTCGGCTAGTCTTTTTTATTTATATATTGGCTGTGTTTTCCCACTGAAGTAAGTTGCATGAGGGTGGAGGCTTTTTCTACTTTACCCAGTATCCCCTATATTTAGAACAGTGGCCTGTACCTAGAAAATACTCAATAAATACAATGTAAATAGATGAAAAGCCAATAACTTCTTAGGATGTAAGTTTTCTGTGTGTCTAGTGGGAGTATGAAGTTATGTGAAGAAACTCTTATAGCCAGGAAATTACCTGCTTTATTTTTAATATTTTTAAATATAAGAAAAAATTTTCATTATACAAATTTTTATTTGTATGAAACTATGGAAAAGGAGTGGGACACATGCTCTCTTAACACTTTGGTGTATTGCCTGCCACTCTTCCCACCATTTCTATACATTTATTCTAAATAATAGCAGTCGTAGGTAAAATTATTTTTTGCTTAAAAAAACTTCCACATTATCAAAAAGCTTTTTATATAGGCTGCTACAAAATCTGAATGACTATTATATTTATTTATTTATTATTTATTATTTTTTAGTACTGCCTTGCACTTGCAAGGCAGGCAGTGGAACCACTGAGCTAAATCCCTGGCCCGCCTCCTCCTTCCTTCCTTCCTTCCGATTTATTTATTTATTGAAGTTGTTTTTGAGATGGGACCTTGCTATGTAGTCCAGTCCTTTGAGTGAGAAGTGCAAATATCTCCAGGCCACATGGAGACTGCGCATTCATTTTAGAGGTTAGCTCCCCAGATTAGATTTATTTTTGTTTTAAAATTTATTTTATGTTGTTTTGGTTTTTTTGAGACAGGGTCTCACTACGTAGTTGAGACTGACCTGGAACTCACTATGTAGCCCAGGCTGGTCTCAGACTCACAGCGATCCTCCTGCCTCAGCCTCCTGAGTGCTGGGACTGCAGGCGTGCGCCACCATGCCCAGCTATTTTTATTTTTTAATTAATTTTTTTGTTTTAAAAATAATTTTTATTTTTTAATCGCTTCTTGGCCTTTTGGCTAAGATCAAGTGTAAAAATAATTTTTATTTTAAAAAAGTTAATATATGCATTATGGGAAACAAAAACAAGAAGCAAAGAACAAAGTAATTTGCAATCATAAGCAGCTTAGCTGGATGTGTTCTTTTAGATCCTGTGTGTATATATACAACATTCCATTTTGTGATTGAGTTTGTACAGTATGTGTCATGGTTTTCTATACATCATAAATATTCAATTCAAAACCCAAAGCTACAAGTGTATTTTTGATAACTAAGAACACACTATACCAAATCAATCTGTAGAAAAAAATTATAATCCTGCCTTTCTTGGGAACAAAAATTTCACAGAAGATAAAAATGATAAGAGGCTCACGCCTGTAATCCCAGCAGTTGGTAGGCTGAGGCAGGAGAATCACTGTGAGTTCGAGACCAGCCTGGGCTACATAGTGAGTTCCAGATCAGTCTCAACTACATAGTGAGACCCTGTCTCAAAAAACCAAAAAAGGGCAACAGGCCTCTAGATAGAAGTATTGACAAAGTTACAGTTACAATACTGCATTGCCTTAATTCTCAATTTAAACTGAGACATAAAGCAACAGCCATGTGTCAGAGTTATCAGATCTTTAGCAAGAAGGCATAGTCCCACTTAATTATTAATGTATTTCTACAGTATAGCTAGAAGACACTTTGATTCCTCTCATCAAAATGTAAATCTCAGATTAGATTAAAGGAAGGGGTAGAGATTTAGAGAAGTGCTGGATAACCCTTCACCTATAGGTAAGCATTGCCTCACACAATTGTGAAGCTCTGATCACATTGTTAGATGTCATTTAACAGATCTACATTTACATGCAGACATAGTAGTGAGGTGCTGAAGGTGTTTCTTCAATTAATTTGCTTAAGTCAATGATTTAATTGAAAATATGCTTCTGGGCTGGGGATGTAGCTCAGCAGTGCTGTGCCTGCCTGGCAAGCACAAGGTCCTGAGTTTGATTCCTGGCACCCGCCCCCCCCAAAAAAAAACATGTCTCTCATATTTTTAAGTTATATGAATCTGGCAGAAGACTAAACAGCCTCATCACCTAATGTCTACCACTCTCCTGGGAGTATTTAAAGTTCCATGATGATGCTGGTGTAGCCTTTCAGTTCCTTTCAGTTTCAGTTCCCTACTGCCATGATTGTGTCACTGCTACTTCAGCAAGGCCACAGACCCAGGCCTAGTTGGAACTTATTCCACGGTTCTGGCCTAGCCTTGAAATCTTGAACTCTGAAACTTACTCTCTACAAAATGCCCCAATTTTCACGTTCTTATAGTCCCACTAAAGTTACTATTTCTTTCTAACAAGTTGTCCTCTCATTACTGTTCAGCTAGCTTTTTATTAGTGTTTCTGAAAGCTCCTGGGTCTGTATAGTTAGTGTAGAGATCTGTTCAGTTGCTTTTCAGTGATGTACTCTGGGTGTTGCTAACTATAGTCCTTTGCTCAGCTCCAAGATCTAACCACTTTGATTAATTTGGGAGGGGAGGGTATCATGTAATTTTTCCAACACTGAGTTCTCTGGGAATACACTCTAGTATTGTTAATGTCACATTGCTAATGTCACAGAAGTAATCTGAGTGTTAGTTTACAGAGAAAACTCATTAATAGCAATAACTATGTAACCCTTGTAATGTCAAGCAAATCAGCTACAATAGTATCATCCAAGACAAATTGGATACTAATATACAGTAAGAACCAATTGTGTACCACCCTTAACCCTGAAGAAGAAATCCACAATTATGGTGTAAACATTAAGACAACACAGGCATTGACTTATAGTTAATAGGTACTAAATGTGACAGCTCTCTTTCCACTAATGGTAAAAAGGAATTTTACAGTAATTTTACAGAGCTAACCATCCAAAGATTAATAAAACTTTAAAGATGTAGAGGTTTGGGAACAGAGGAATGCAAGAGGGAAAATTTGAAACCTTAAGCTGTATGATATGAGGAGAAGTGGCACAGTGAGTCATATTGGAGGTAGAAGCATCAGGTAAAGATAAGACAAAAAACTGATGAGAAACAGAAGGTAAAAGCAAAATAGGGAGGAAGATAATTATATTTTGAGTAAAAGTAAGACATAAAATTAAAGGGAGGGCCAGGGATGTAGCTCAGTGGTGCTGTGCCTACCTGGTAAGTGCAAGGTCCTGACTTTGATCCTGCTACTGGAAAAAAAAATTAAAGGGAGCAGAGGGAAGAATATAGACAGAAGAAAAGTGTTGGGCATGGTGGTGCACACCTGCAATCCCAGCACACGGGAGGCTGAGGTAGGAGGATCACCTTGAATTTGAGACCAGCCTGGGCTACATAGTGAGTTCAAGGTAAGCCTGAACTACATAATAAGACCTTGTCTCAAAAAACAAAACAACATGATAAATACAAAACTAAAAAAAGAAAAAGATAAGAATCAAGGAAAAAGGGCAAAGGAAAATCCCCCAAACCCAAATTAACTGGTGAAGTAGAGAAGAAGAAAGGAAAGAATAAAAAAGAAAAAACAATCCCTCCAAACAATTCACAACAAATAACAAAGAACTGTGATTTTGATTTCATGGTTTTCTTCCAGGATGTAGAGTTCTCAGGCGGTGTCTGAGTCAAGGCATGTCTGCTGATAGATAAGGTAGTCAGATCTCAGACCCGTGCTGGATGCAGTCAACAATAGGCAGAAGAATAAGGGCAGGGGCACCAATGCCATGACTTTCAAACCCAGAGTGACTCGCGCTGGGCCTGGCCTCTAGCTGTAGGGGAAGAGCCTGTGTTCTTTAGCTCAAAGCTGTTGAAGGTCTCTTTCCAGCCTGCTCCCTGGCCACGGCTATCTCCTATGGCTGTCTCTCACCCAGTCACTGTGGGAATGTGATGATGGGAACCTGCAGCTGCTCTGAGTCCAAGGTTCAAAGAGTCATCTCTTCCACAAAATGGTGTCCAACCAAGCACTCTCTAGGGATATGAAGGCGCTTGGACTGGAGTCACTCTCCACCAGCTGTTACCTGTCAAAGGACTCATGGGGGAGCAGAATCCAGGGGTCTCCCCGCAGATCACAGCACCCACTGGTCCATTCCACTACTGCATTTCTCCCTGAAGCCTTCTGAGTCCCTAGCTTTCACTTTGTCTCTGTAGTTTTGGATACCCTTTCCTGGCAGGTGAGATCTTGGAGCTGAGGAGAAAGTACAGACAGTCCCTTCCCTTCTCTACATTGTGTTTTGTCTCTTTAATTTCTCTGTACATTTTAATCTCCTGTCAGATCCTTCCTTGTTCTTGAGGATCCACTTCTGTCTTTTCTTCTTCCCCTCACTGTTATTTTTCAGTGTCTGGATTCTGAATCTCAGAAAGGCTGATTTGTTGTCACTAACCACTCTTCTATTTTCTTATTTCTAATTTTGATTACAGATAGGTCACTTTATTTCTTATTCTGACCTATGCTTTTCTTACTGATGTGAGTTTTTTTTTAACCCATTTTTCCGTTTTTTCAGGTATAGTCACTGGTTTGATGGAATGGCTTTGCTTCACCAGTTCAGGATAGAGAAGGGTACAGTTACCTATAGGAGCAAGTTTCTACAGAGTGATACATATAAGACCAATAGTGCTCAGAATCGAATTGTAATCTCAGAATTTGGCACACTGGCTCTTCCTGACCCATGCAAGAATATTTTTGAACGTTTCATGTCAAAGTTTGAGATGCCTGGTAAGCAGCCTTTAACATTCCCAGAAACTTTTTTTTTTTTTTTAACTCTCTTAGATTCTGCTACTAAAATAAACTATGATTCTAAAATAACTCTGATGGTTGGTTTTAGCTATGACTGACAATACCAATGTCAACTATGTGCAGTACAAGGGTGATTACTACATGAGCACTGAGACCAATTTTATGAACAAAGTGGACATTGAAACTCTGGAAAAAACAGAAAAGGTAATATATAATTAAAAATGAATAAAATAGATCCTAAAATTTCTTCCCATTCTGAGTACTTTTTAAAAATAGTACATATCTAAAGAACTTTAACCACATAAAGATAAAATTATCCATTAATTCATGTAACCTTCACCCTCTGTTCTGATTAGAATGGACTCTGTGGGTGGGGTTGGTCTCTTTAAAGATAATTCTAAACGCCTTCCTTAATCCTAATATCTGAAGGCTAGAGTAAAGGAGAAATAAAATAGTACCTATCTACTTGATGAATCATATTCTTCTCAGTTACAATTAGAGCTGGACTAGAGATTGACTAGACCTAAGTTGCTTTAATAAATTAATTAAAATAAAATTTCAGATCAAGATTTTAATTTAATTGTAAATCATGTGCTTCTTTTGGAATATCTTGTGGTTTCAGACAAATGTATCCAGGTGTGTGTGTGTGGTGGTAGGTTTTTGTTTTTGTGTTGATTTTAGTTCAGTTTTTTAAAAATTTAGTGGGAAAATCATTTTGATTTCTCAGAGGCAAGAAATTAGAGGATAAACCGGGCATGGTGGCGCACGCCTGTAATCCCAGCACTTGGGAGGCTGAGGCAGGAGGATTGCTGTGAGTTTGAGATCAACCTGGCCTCCACTGTGAGTTCCAGGTCAGTCTCAACTACCTAGTGAAACCCTGTCTCAAAAAAACCAACCCCCCCAAAAAAAGAGAAATTAGAGGATATACTATAGTTTGAATATTTTATTTTAAAAATATTTTACATGTCCTATTATATGCATGTCAATAGAGACCAGCACATGTAACTAAAAGAATCTGTCAATCTTAAATTGGCAGGTAGATTGGAAAAAATTTATTGCTGTAAATGGAGCAACTGCACATCCTCATTATGACCCAGATGGAACAGTATACAATATGGGAAACTCCTATGGCCCACAAGGTAAAGGTGGAATAGAGGCGTTTTTTTTGGTTTTGTTTTTAGAAATAAGTAGGAGCCCTTTATGGTTAAGATATAAACATATGAAACTTCATTTGAATGTTTCAGAAGGAAAATCTAATGTGGTATTAATGAGCTTAAAATATTCTGTGATTTTGTGGTCCTTTTTTGACTATGCTTAACAGCTAATTTTCTGCTTGTCCTTTTTAGCACAACTCACATTTTTTTAATGTTCAGTTGTGATCTGAGATTATAAAGATTGTATGGATTTTCATTACATATTTATTAAACATGAATTTTTTTTTGGTACCGGGGACCAAACTCAGGACCTTGTACTTGAAAGGCAGGTGCAGTCCCTTAAACATGAATTTTTAAATGAAGAAGTTGCAGAATAGATAATTAGAGATATATACTGTCATCTTATTCCAAAAGAAGATTGGAGATTTCAAATTTCTGTTACCCAAGTTTTTCACTACCTGTGCTAGAAATTCCAGTACCAAGAAGACAATTTAATATCACCTAAATGTATATTCATTTATTGAATGGCTTAACAAATCTGTTTTTAGTTAATTCATCGATAGCCATTTATAGTGTGCCTACTAAATGTCAAGTCCTTGCTTAGTACTGAGAATGTAAAGATGAATCAGACACAACTCCTGTCCCAGAAAAGCTCAATGGTCTACTGGGAAACAGATAAGCAGAAAATTATAGTATAGGGCCCAGGATTTAGCTCAGCGGTTCGGTGGCCTGCCTTGTAAGCGCAAGAACCTGAGTTCAATCTCTGGTACCAAAAAAAAAAAAAAAAAAAAAAAAAAAAAGAGAATTATAGTACAATGAGATATATTAAGACCATGTAGGATATAAAGAATGTACAGTGAGGGATATGACTATCCCCCATCAAATGTGTCCTTGCACAAAGGCAAGGGCACTCATCTATTCTAGATTGTAGGCGAAACAGTAAAGATAGGACTTCTCATTTTCCAGGTTCCTATTACAACATTATTCGGGTTCCTCCAGAGAAGGTGGACCTTGAGGAGACAATCCACGGAGCCCGGGTGATGTGTTCTATTGCTTCTACAGAGAAAATGAAGCCTTCTTAGTACCATAGCTTTGGTGAGTATAGAGCAATTTACAAAGGGCCTTACTTTAATGTTACTGTATCAGAGGGACTAGTTTTGGCAAGCACTATTAATAGTTAACATCAGAGGTCATGATATTGAAGCCAGTGTTGCATTTCTTGCCAATTATGGTATTCTGTTTAGTCATATACACCTTCTACTAGCCAGTTATCTGCTTGAAAAGAACAGTTGCTTTAGTACAAACAGTTAATAAAAAAATTAAGTAACAGAACTCAAGATTTGGGGCAACTTTAAACTGGGTGTAGTGATGTAAACTTGTTATCCTAGTATTTGGGAAGCTAAGGCAGCAAGACTGAAATTTTGAGACTAGCCTGGGCTACAAAGGGAGGCTCTGACTGAAAACACACACATGCGAGCGCACGCGGCGTGCGCGCGCGCGCACACACACACACACACACACACACACACACACACATGACAATTTAAAGCCTTCACTCAAACACAAAAAGGTCTTGACTATGTTATGTGTGTGTGATATCATATTCTATATAAATTGCTTTAGCTTTTACTCAGAATATTTGTTTTCTGTATTTTTAAATTGTTATAGCCAAACTGCTCTTAGGTCCTTAACATGGGGATAAATAAGAAAAGATGAGGGACCAAATGTACAGATATTCAGTGACATTTTAATATACTTCATTACTTTGTTCCAAAAACCAAAGTAATTTATTTTTTTCCTTTTATTGAGTTTATTGGTACATTTTAGGTATACAGTACAATTACATTCATTATTGGGATCTTGTACCTTTACATGACAGGTCTTGGTTCTCATTTTTTTCCCCTTGTCCATGCCCTCCCTTCACCCCCTCCTCCCCTTCCCGTAAAAATCAAAGTAATTTAAAAAGGAAAAAAAAAAGTAAGGCAAGGACATTCAATCCAAGCTATTCTTAGCAGTTCCTTTTTTATGTAGGAACAAGAAATACGTATAGCAAAGCTGGGAAATGGTGAGGTATCTCAGGCTGGCCATTTTAAAAGTCAGTAGTAATATGTCCAGGCATTCAGTAAGTCTCTGTAATGGTTACTTTTTCGACCAAATAACCTTTCATTATTTGCTGGAACCTTTCAGGAATGACAAGGAACTACGTAATCTTCATTGAACAGCCTCTCAAGATGAAGCTGTGGAAAATTATCACTTCTAAAATTCGAGGAAAGGCTTTTTCAGATGGAATAAGCTGGGAACCCCAGTATAATACACGGTTTCATGTGGTGGATAAACACACTGGACAGGTAGAATATTTTGAGCATATATATTATGAAAGTGGTTAGATTCAGAGATGAATTTCCATATGGCTGATTTTTTTTAACCTTCTCTGGGCATTATTTTTAAGACATTCTTAATTAAGCTGCCTTCTTTGTTGGGTTGGGCTACCGACAGACAGTATTAGCAGGGTAGGTGATGCACATTAGAGAATTTTAGTAATTATTTTATTCAGTTAATTACCTGATTGAATTAAGATGGCATCTAGGAATCTCTCTTATAGGGTTTTCCATCTTGTGATAGTTACAAAAGAGGATTTTGTACATGCACAGATCTGTAACATTTGCTGTGTCAGTATGATAATCCCACCAAAGTCTAAGCATGTTAGTTGATTGTCTTTTTATACTTCTGATTAATAATAGTGCAGTTTTGTTTGTGTTCCTTTTATTTAAAAGGATAGTATCCTAAATTTACCTGAATTTAATTACAATATATTTTAGTAATGAGTATACTTTTCAAATTAGTCACTTATATCATATACTAAGCAACAGCACTTTTTCTTTAACCATGAAGTTTTGATCTAAGATTTATTTCTCCTTTTATTTATTTATTTTGGTACCAGGGATTGAACTTGGGTCCTTGCACTTGCAAGGCAGGCGGAAGAACCACTGAGCTAAATCTCTGGCTATTTCTTCTTTTAAACCATGTTTTATAAAGACTTTAAATTAGTTGTAATGGTTGTCTGCCCTACATAAAATAGCCTCATTTTGTTAATTAATATGAAATGAGATGACTTAAGCAAGCAGTGCTTAAATCAGAGCATATTTGCCTCTATGTTTTGTATTCTACTTCTCTTATACCTACTGGGTGTGCCAAGTAAGGGTGGGGATCCCCTCTTAATTTGTAGATCTGTTCCCTGAAGGAAATAAAGAAAGGCAAGTGTCTTCTTTTCATTGTTTTTGTTTTTCCCTGAAGATTCTTCCAGGGATGTATTACAGCAAGCCTTTTGTTTCTTTTCATCAAATCAATGCTTTTGAGGACCAGGGCTGTATTGTAATTGATTTATGTTGTCAAGATGATGGAGGAAACCTAGATATTTACCAACTACAGAATCTCAGAAAAGCTGGGGAAGGGCTTGATCAGGTAAATATCTCTGATTTGTAGAGAGTTATTAAAATTACGTTGAACCAGTCAAGATCTGACTTTGGGTTTGGAATTATCTGTTTCTTTTGCCCCCTTTTGGCAAATAAGGAGGGGGAATAGTTTTAAAGCATGGAAGAAAAAGTTCATCATTGTATTACAGTGATAACATGCATACTCACAGTTGTAGGAGCACAGCGCATACTAGCTAAATCTTGGAAGTGGCCTACAGCTCCCTCAACAGATCAATGGATACAGAAATTATATATAAATATATATAAAGTGTAGACTACTCAGTCACAAAGAAGGATAAATTTGACTCATTGAGGAAAATGGATGCACCTGGAGACCATAATGCTAAGTGAAATAAAGCAGATAAGAAGGTTAAATATTGCATGGTTTCTCTTACATGAGAAGCCCAAAGTATAAATAATTTAGATAGCAAAATAAGGATGTTAGGAAACAGGAAGATAGACTTTGTGGAGATGGGAAGTAGGTTTGGGGTGGGGAGAGATGTGAGGTAGGGGAAGGGGAAGTGAAAAGGATCAAGATGCATATGTCTGTGTACCAAAAATATTTAGAAAGAATTTGAAGTGGCTTACCGAATGCCTAATAAATAAAAAACATAGTGAAGACAATGAAGATACATGTGAAACAGTTGTGATTAGTTCTGATTACACTTAAGCACTAAACATATGTACTTGTTTCCTGGAAGGAATAGCAAAATGGACTACCCGTGTTTGTACTAGTTCACTTAGCTAAAGGGATGTACTTTTTCCTGATATTGAATCTGAAATAAAATTTTTCCTTGTATTATATAATGTAAATTGGATTCATCTGTAGTTTTATTTTTCAGCTATGCGTTTTCTGAAACAGGGTGTTGCTATGTAGTTCAGGCGGGCCTCCAACTCATGGTGATTTTGCTTCAGCCTCCCAAGTGCTGGGATTAATAGGCATGTGTCACCCACACCTGGCCATTTTTCAATTATAATCTTATTTTTTTCTTTTAGTCTTTTTGAGAGGGTCTCACTGTGTAGTTCAGACTGGCCTTGAATTCACTATGTGTCCCAAGGTTGGCCACTCGTGGCAATCCTCTTGCCTCAGCCTCCCACATGCTAGAATTATAGGCATGTGCCACCGTGGCCAGCTACTATAATCTTACTTAAACATTTTTTTTAGAGTACTGTACTTATTCAGTTTACCTATACTTACTAAGTTCACTTATGGCTTCTTGGTTGGTCTTAATATCTGTAGTTTTAGTGTTTTTTAGCTGTTTTGTATTTTAAGATTGCTTGGATTTTTCTTGGTCATCTATATTCCATAAATTTTTGGATCAGCTTGTTAGTCTTTACAAAGAAAATAAAATTCTGTTGGGGTCAAGTTGCAAGTATAGATCAGGGCCAGGGATTTAGCTCAGTGGCATGGTGCCTGCCTTAGCAAGCACAAGGTCCCGAGTTCAATCCCCAGTAACAAAAAAAAAAAAAAAAAAAAAAAAAAAAAAAAAAAAAAACCC